CTCATTTGCGTTACATTTAGCCGCTCCTTTGCTGGGTGTTTCCAACGTTGCCAGTTCTGTTTTGTCGCTTGACGTATTTGAGATCACGTCACCGTTGGTCTCTTTTGTCGCCAAGGACTGTATAACCTCACTTTTGGAATTTTCATGATTTTGCTTGTATTTTTTGTTTTTCTCAGCCAGCAGGCGGTTATTCTCTCCCAGAAGAGCGTTTTTTTCCTCCAAGAGCTTGATATAACCATGTTGAACAGGTCTTTTTCATGTTCCCAGGCCTCCTGCACGGCATATTCAGGTATATGCCGGCAACTTGGTCGTTTTGTGTGGCTGCTTGAATCAGGTAGGCCGAATGGAAGTTTTTTGACACTTTCCACATTTAATGTGGTTTTTAGTTGTTTATTTACAGTGCACGCACATTTTTTCACAGTTTTCACCACTGATTTTCGCGTTTTTTTCCGGACGAAACATCGCTCGCTTGTTTACTGAGAAAATCCCGCCAACTAAACTGTTTAGTTACTGTTTTTTTAGTTCTGGTAATTAAAAATGATCGAAAATGTAATGTAGTAACAAACCATAGTTATTTACTGCAGCAAATTTTTCTATTTTTTCCTCAATAGTTGTGATTAATATACTCTTATTAGTAGCAATTGGAAACATTTGTTGTTTATTCAGTTTTACTAAAATTCTTTGCTGGGACAACAGAGGTCCCTTCTGGGTTTAATAACTTCAAGTATTGAGTTATGATAACTAAAATTACTTATACTGTGAAAAAGATTATTATTACCCACAACAATTTTTTGTTAGCTATTACTAAAATGTTTAGGTAAATCTTGTTTTCGGGTAACCTCGGTTTCATTGGGTCGAGCATTTCTCTCCGAATTCTTTTCAGTCCCAATATTCATCACGCACAACTCACAAGTCGGTCCGTACGTCGCATGTCAAGGTTAACGAAAATCGACGATAGCTACTATAACTAGCAAGAGCAAGAAAATATCAACGGACTAGCATGAGCAAGAAAATATTACCTATAAATAAATAAGTAATTATTATTTTTTGTGCATGATCATCGGGTGTCGGGTGTCTGGTGACTGGTTCCCGTCTGTTGTGGTGGCTATTGATTAGTGCGGAGTGTTTTGTGATTGATCCTTTTTTATTGCCTAGCCAGGTGGGGACATTACGTACAAATTATTATTGCTAGAGTGGGGATTGGAATCGTTTTCCGATTTATTTGAGGGTGAGTTTGAATTGTTAGGTAACCAATAATAATATACTTTATTTGAAGTAGGTTTACGGCTTACGCAGCTCTCAAGCCAAATGCATAATCGATCATTCTGGTGTTAGTATGCATAATTCAACTTCTTCGTCTCCTTCTGTGCAACAGAAAAAACTTCAGAAGCCTAAAGTAAAAGAGACAGTATACACCTACACCTATTTTTTTACAAGTTTGTTAATTTTTCTAGGACCATAGAAAAAATTATTTTTTTGTTGGTGATTTGAGATGTGATCTTGCAATAGTTTAACACGTGATGCCTTAACTACTAGACCGTCCGATAATGACAGTTTACAAATGTAATTTTTTTTCGAATAAATGTTTTTTCAAAACTGTCAATTTGTTTATACTGTCTTAATTTCCAATAAGTTATACCTAGTACTCTACCTAGCAGTTAGAGAAACAAAATACATGAAAATTTATATAAAGTTAACAAAAAAGAAAAAATTGTCATTCAAATTGCTTTTGTTTAAATTAAGAAAAAGAGTTAAGTTAAAAAACAACATAAATACCTGCAGTATATAAATCTCAAAAGGACTATGATTACAAATAATTTTAAATTATAGTTAAAGTTGAAGTACTTAGGTATGCACCTGTAAAATATTTTCTTACTATAATTTAAAATCATTTTGTAATCATAGTCCTTTCGAGATCTATATACTGCAGGTATTTAGGTTGTTTTTCAACTAACCCAATTTTTTAATTCTAACAAAAGGGATTTGTAATGATAACTAAGTTATTTTTAACCACAACCAAATAAGTTTTTCAATACAACAACATTTGTTTGCAACGGCAACTAAGTTGGTTTTAGCCACAACTAAATATGTTTTTTACTACAACAATATTATTTGCAATGACAACTAAGTTATTTTTAGCCAAAACTAAAATCTAGTTGGTTGTAACTGAACTTTTTAGTTGTGATGAATAAAACTGGTTACTATCTGCAAGTAATTCTACTTAGTTACAGCAATAAGATACTCGACCAATTAACTAAATTTATTTATTTGAGACGACTATGCTTTCTAGTAGATAAATTTTAGTTGTCGCAACAAACTTGGCTAGCTGTCCCCTATTTTATTAAGATTTTTTGCTGCCATAACTAATTTTTTAGTAATGACTACGAGTTTTTTTCCTCAGTGCACCGTTACCACTTCTTTTCTGCATAGCCTTGTTTCCCCCAAGCTCCATCCTAAATAACTCGAATACAGGATACCGATGCACGAACGAGAAACAGAAAATCAATCACCTTCTGTATGTTGACGACCTGAAGCTGTTAGCGAAGAATGAATCTGAACTATCAGAACAATAAGAAATAGTAAAAAAGTTTAGTGACGACATTACAATGGAATTTGGTCTTGAAAAATGTGCGAAGGCAACTTTCCTAAATGGAAAGGTACAAGCGAAAGAGAATATCCAACTAGTTGAAACAATAATAAAGGGTGATCCAATTAGTGCTTTAGTATTTTAAAGTGAAATATAGGCAACACTGTACATGTAAAAAAAAAATTATTTGGTAGTTTTTTAGATTCGTTTATTGCAAAATGAAGTAAAACATTTAACAACACAGCAACGCTGCGAAATTATTAAAATTTATTATCAAAAGCAAAGCTCTATATAAAGGCAACTTAGCGCGGATTAAGTACACTTTATGGTACCCGCATGATCAACTCAGTGAACAAGTTGTAAGGTTGTGAGGAACTTTGAAAATGAGTTCAGGTTGCTGGATAACCCAAAAATAAATCGTGTAAGAAATGTGTCAAATGCAGAAAATGTTGAAGCTGTAAGTTCAAGTGTTCGAGATAATCCAAATTTGTCTCTAGACGTTCTCAGCAACGATTATTTCTTCCCAATAATCATCGAAAACCAACTGGAGGGATATGATACCGAGCAAATAGAATCCACCACCAACATTGAAACAGAAACCAAAAGAGTAAAAACCATCAAAGATAAAATGAGACAACAGTCAAAACAAGAACAAAAAGAAAAATGGAGGAAAAAGACTGCCATAAACCTTTTACACCCATATGCACCGTATGGACTTGGGAGTTTATTCTCGCTTAGTTCGAAAATTTGCTTATAAAAGAGAAGTCCTAACCTGGTTTCAGCAACTAATCTGAATTGAGTCCTTAATCCTTATGGTGCATTTGGGCGTTAAATTTTGAAGCTTAACAAAACTTAAAAATTTCAGATAAAATCGATTTTTTTTATTTTAATTTCATAAACCCACTTTTACGCGCCACTGGTGTTGACTATTTTCTATACAAGTCATTTTATGATGCAATTGAAACGGAATCTGTTAGTTCAATTAAAGAATCGCTAATTTCAAGAGAAAAACGAAATACCATAAAATGGCCATATTTCCATAGCAACGCGATGTATCGAAAAAATGGCAAAGACGTCTCGAGGTCTTGACCTAGTGATCGAGTCACCACTAGAAAGAACTTTATTGGACCCTCCATCTTTCCCATATTCTTCGCCAAAAAATGGAAATTTTTCGCCGCCGTACATTCACACCCTGTATAAAAAGAAGGAATTTTAAAAAAAAATGTACGACGACACTGACGCATAGACCAAAGATGGCGCTTTGTAACCCTGCCTTGCATGGTCAAATTTTACATGAAGCAGAAAAAGAGACCATCAATAAGAGTCAAACGTAGAAATGGCTTACTCACGCAGATCTGAAATGCGAGACGGAATCACTAATAACCGCTTGCCAGGAGCAAGCCATCGCGACGAGTTATATGAAGGCAAAAATAATGAAAACCGGTACTGACCCAAAATGTAGACTGTGCCGGTCATTTGATGAAACCATTCATCACGTTGTGTCTGGCTTCCCGATCCTGACTAAGCGAGCTTATTTGGACCGTCATAACACTGTGGCAAAACAACTGCACTGAAATATATGCAAAGCTTACGGAATAATAACACAAGACCGATGGTATAAACACATCCCAGATCCTGTTATAGAAACACCTGAAATAACCAATCTGGGATACTCAAGTACAGACAGACAGGAGAATCGATGCTAACAAACCAGGCATTATACTAAAAGATAAAAAAAACAGAAAACTTGCCTCCTTATCGATGTTACCATACCATCGGACTACAACATTAGTCAAAATGAAGCTGAGAAACCCATAAAATATAAAGACCTACAAATTGAGGTACAACGAATGTGGAACCTGAGAACAAAGGTTATACCCATAGTGATTGGAGCCACAGGACTTGTATCCAACTATACAAGCGAAATCATTAAAGAAGTTCCTGGTCATCATAATATACTAAGCATGCAAAAGGCAGTAGTGCTGAGTTAAGACTAAATCGCACACCTTAGGTGCACGTTGTGCACCTGGTGATTCTTCAAAAAATACTCCCATAGCTGAAGAAAGGCTATGAGATAAAAGACAATAATAATAATAATAATAATAAATAATAATAATAGGAAATCAGCAATAATCAGCATCGAAAAACAAGGAATAGCTAACAGATGGCTCGATAATCTCTCAATTCTACCGAGAAAAATACATCGAATGGCCCGGCTACTTTTATAGGGAAACTTCAAAATAAGTCCCTGTTTATATGTTGGAAGAACATCCCGTACGTACAATTTTCCGACCTAAAATTGATAACGAAACTGTCTACACTCGATCATAAATATCCTGATTAGATAGATAGATATAGGCTTTTTCCTATCTGTTTGGAAAAGATTAGATAAAAGTTAAAATAGTAGTGTTCTCTGGCGATAAAATAGAATATTGTACATTAAAAAAATGATCCGACATGAAATATTTACCATCAAATCCACCAGGTATCTATGTTTTTTTTTAATACTAGTTAGCTACCCATGAATATAATATATATTTTTCAGTAGGAAGATGTAAATATGCTCTCTGGAAAAGCTTCCTCGCAGCTGTAGCAGTAGTATCTGTGATATATTTAATAACAATGAACAAAAAATGTATATTTACACAAACATCTACGAATCTAACCAGTTCGAATAAAGAAATCAGATATTTTTCAAACTTAAATCCGCAGCCCCATGTGGTCCCCAGATTAAACGAAAAGGATTATAGTAGACTTATAAATTTGACTAATTTTAAATTCATAGTACCAAACTCTTGTTCAAACGATAACGTATTTCTTGCTGTAATAGTTACCTCGGCACCCAAAAATCTCGAAGCAAGAAACACAATTAGAAGTACTTGGGGCAAAAACGATGAACAAGTTAAAACATTTTTCATGTTAGGAGCTGTTGATGACGCTGATGTTCAAGAAACAATTTTTAAAGAACATTTGCAATACCATGACATAGTTCAAGGCAATTTTTTTGATTCCTATTTTAATTTAACTTATAAGACTGTGATGGCACTGAAATTTATCACTTACCACTGCACCAATGCTACTTATATACTTAAAACTGACGATGATGTATTTGTAAATATGCCTTTATTGAAAAACTTTTTGATAAATGATTTATCTCCTTTTGGAGCAGTAAATTGCCTTTTGTGTCATAAAATGGAAAACATGCCAATTTTGAGAGGCTCGTCAAAATGGGCTGTTAAAGAAGAAGAATTTCTTGGCAAAATATACCCCACATACTGCAATGGACCTTATAGTATATTATCACCGGACGTTGTGTTCAAACTATATCAGGAATCTCAAAGGCAAAAATACTTTTATATTGAAGACGTATTTTTATATGGAGTCGTAGCCGGTAAATTTCCAGAAATACAGCATACCGACATTAAAAATTACACTTTGTGGGACTTATTTGCTCCAGGAGCCTATAAAACAGTAAGAACGCAACGGAATTTTTTGTTTGGATTTTTAGGAATGAAGCCTGAAAACTTAAAAGAATTTTGGGAGTTTGTAAAAGGACGGCCAGTAACGAGATCTTTATACGATTCTGTAGTGTAGATGAAATCTATTTAATAAATAAATATGTTTAAAAACACAAAAAAGTTGCTTTATATCTTATAGGTACCTACTATGAGAGATAGATATTTATACGTTATAAGTCCAGAAAATAATATTGGTTTTAAAAACACCCCATGTAAAAGGTTTTCCGGACGAATAACGTAGAGGGTGCCCCATTGAAGATGGGAATTGGTGTTAACTGCTAAACTCGTAGAGGTAGATTTTTTTTTTGATTTCACATTCCCCAGGCCAATTTTTTTTGATGAATCCAATGCCGCAATCCGCAGGTCCTCTATCTTTTTCGTTTTGCAGATACAGGGTGAAACTTGAGATGTTCACTTTTCGGGCGTAGTCATTATCTAGAGTCTAGAGTATGAAAAAAGATATCAAAAAGGTGAAAATTGTATCTGACGCAGTTTTTTACTTAAATTCCATTGGCGTACCTACTGGATTTTTTTTTCCGAGTTACCGTTCAAGAGATATGACACAAACTTGATCTTTTTTAAATGGAACACTCTGTAAGTTTTAAATTTTTAGAATACGCATAAAATTACGATTTTAATGTGAGAAGCTTATAATTTTTTGATATGGGACACCCTGTAAAATAATAGTTTATCGAGGGCCGGTTTATTCAATTTCTGATAGTGATAATCTCTCAGGTATGCAATCTGACGGATAAAAACGCAACCTGCAATCCCATTGGTCGGCCAGTTATCCGCTGACCAATAGAATTATAGAACGGTAAATGTATCTTGCAGATAGTTACCAGCAAGTCAGATAAAGCGGCCCCCATAAGAGTCACAAATTCATCATCGCTTTATTTTTTGTTTTTTTTTTCCATAAAATGCATATTTCATTTCAAGCTTCATTCATGCAAATATAGTATTCTCTGAGACCATCAATGAACGCAGATACTGCCATCCATTCCTGCATGTCTTCCCCAGCTGCAGGAAACGCCAACCTCACTAGCCTTTTAACTTCCGTTTCGAATTCTTGTAAACTCTCGCCGGGTTTTTGAATTCTTGATTTAACTTGAGCTCTAAATACTTCTTGTCTGTAATGGTCTCCGAAGCGCAATTCTAACTTTTGACTTAGATGCTGGTAATTCTGTTGGTAGATTGAAGGAATGGACTGAAGAAGGTCTAAGACAGGTCCTCGTAGCACCATATCAGTGCTGTAGCTTTTTCTTGGTCGTTCCATCCATTGGTATTTGCAACAGCTTCAAATTGTCGGATATACATGGTCCAGGACGTAGAACTGTCAAAAGTCGGTTATTTTATCTTCATACTATAGTCAACCATCCAAGGACCTTTTTTTTTCAGTTATACATGTAAACCCCATACTTTGTGAGTGGCTTGCTTACATCAAGTCCTACAACTTTTCCTCTACGACTTTTCTCAGAAATGGCACGTATGCGCGCAGGCGACTCGCAAACATGTCGATCTGACGTAGCTATGTTTCCTGATACATGTAGGTAAATCTAATTTTACGAATACTGTTTGATTTTTATGTCTAAATCACGGAAATCAACTTGGCCGACAAAAATAATGGCAAATTGGGGGAGTCCGATACCCCCAAAATGTCGATCTGACGTGGTTATGTTTCTTGATACATGAAAATCTAATTTCACGAATAATATTTGATTTTTATTTCTAAATCACGGAAATCAACTTGGCCGACAAAAATAATGGCAAATTGGGGGAGTCCGATACCCCTAAAATGTTTGCGAGTCGCCTGCGCGCATACGTGCCATTTCCGAGAAAAGTCGTAGAGGAAAAGTTGTAGGACTTGATGTAAGCAAGCCACTCACAAAGTATGGGGTTTACATGTATAACTGAAAAAAAAGGTCCTTGGATGGTTGACTACTAGAGAATGCCCCAACACTAACTGGATTGATGGACTGTAATCAGGGGCGTCCATAGGGGGGGGGGGGCAAATGGGGCACTTGCCCCCCCCCCCCTAGGCCTGGAGATTATTATTGTTTCATGATGCTACCATTGCTAAGAAGAATAAAAAAACAGAATAGCAAAATAGATACTAAAAGTTGCTTACACAATAAATAATAATTGTCAAATTGACATTCTGTCTGTGCAATTGGTGTTTATTTTTTTTTTAATGACATCATTACAAATGAGTACAGGGTGCTGCAATTTGGAGTGTTTTAACAGGAAAAACACACTTCCCTACCAGATAGAGGAAAATTGACTTAGATGTCATGGGATCGATTTTCGAGAAACGTCGATTGTCAAAAACCGTATCGCGATATCTTCAATGGTACCATTAATACAGGGCGATTTTCGATTTTCCCCTATTATGAAAAATGGCTATAAGTTTTTTATTTATCAATTTTTTTTATTTCTGTAAAAACATTATGGAGACACTTTTTTTAGCACAATCCAGTAGTGGACTCGGTTTTTCTCTATATCGCTCCGATTCCGAGATATCGACCAAATTCCGATATTTTCAAATGAAGCACCCTATATATTAATAGCTTATTGGATAGCTCTGTTTTTGCTGATTTCAATGATACAAAGTTCGATAGGTTTATCTCTAACGTTTTCGAAAAAAAAATTATATCTCTTTATGTCATAAGAAACAGAGACCTTCCTCATTCTCCTTACACATATAAAATCCTTTTCTAACACATTGGTCCTTACGACAAAAACAGATATAATTTTTTTTCTCGAAAACTGTTAGAGATAAACCTATCGAACTTCATATCATTGAAATCAGCAAAAACAGAGCTATCGAACGAGCTATTAATATATACGGTGTTCCATTTGAAAATATCGGAATTTGGTCGATATCTCAAAATCGGAGCGATATAGAAAAAAACTGAATCCGCCACTGGATTGTGCTCAAAAAAGTGTCTCCATCATGTTTTTACAGAAATAAAAAAAATTGATATAAAAATAAAAAACTTATAGCCATTTTTCATAATAGGGGAAAATCGAAAATCGCCCTGTATCGATGGTACCATTGAAGATATCGGGATACGGTTTTTGACAATTGACGTTTCTCAAAAATCGATTCCATGACGTCTAAGTCAATTTTCCTCTATTTGGTCTGGAAGTAGGTTTTTCTTGTTGAAACACTCCAAATTGCAGCACCCTGTACAGTTTAGACTGCTTATGTTCATTCAGTAATATACGTATGGTTATACCTATTGGCCGTCGTTTTTTATCTGACACTTTCCGCATGAGGAGCGAGGGGGTGAAGCACATGGCGGAAACCACAAAAAAACATGTGTAACGTCAGGTAACCATTGTCGTTTTAACATAGGGAGCCACCAGCTCACATTTTTTTGAAGTATCAGATTAAAATCGACGGACTTTACATAAATGGTTTTATTTACGACTGATAATGTAAGTATTATATTTGTGATATTGGCAGTATAATGCCATGTATTATTCCCGCGAGGGATTAATGGTCATTATTGTCGTAAATAAAGTAGAGTATACTACTCGCAATAATGGCTATTATTCCCTCAAAATATTACTCCCTCGCCGCTAACGCGGCTCAGTTCGTAAATATTCCTCGGCAATAATAGCTATACTTATTGACTCGTGGTATAATCTACTATTACCTATTTAAAAACCAAAAATAAGTCATCAAGGTAATTTATTCACCTTATCTTCAAGAGCTTGAACATGGTTCTCAACTTCTTGTCTTAATTGTTGACCATCGTTTTTAACTTCTTGAACATCGTTTTAAACTTCTTGAACATCTTCTTTTACTTCGGCTTTAACTCCTTAATCTTTTGTTCCAGGTTAACGACAGATCCCTGTATGGTTTGTAATATTTTCTGCAGTTGCCTAATGTCTTCTTGCCGTTCTTGTTGTCGTCTAGCTTCTTCTTCTTTTTTCTTTTTGTCGCCTGGCTTCTTATTCTTGTTTTTCTTTTTGTAGTCTGGCCTCTTCGTCTTGTTTCTCTTGTTGTCGTTTAGCTTCTTCTTCTTGTTTTTCTTTATGTTTGTCGCCTGGCCTCTTCGTCTTGTTTTTCTTGTTGTCGTCTAGCTTCTTCGTCTTGTTTTTTTTTGTTCAAATATCTTTCCTGTTCTTTGATTGAAGCTCCAAACAAGCCGGTGAAGTCACAAATTGGATAACTTGCTTTCTTGTCGAATAGAATGTTCTAAAATTTTCTTGAAATGTCTTTTCTGGATGTCGATTGATATAGCAATCACGTCGATGTAGTCACAGATTGGATATCTCCCTTCGTTTCCAAATAGAATATTCTAGAATTTCCGAAACTCCTCGAATTTTTTTTTCCGAACGACGATTGATGTTTCGTCGTTCCGAATATGTCGGCGAAGTCAGAAATTCGATATCTCCCTTGGTTTTCAAATAGAATTTTCTAGAACTCACTCGGAAATTCACTATCACAGTCAAAATCGGGTATACAGTCACTTCCGGAGTAATTTGTACAATCGGTTAAGTCTCTTTTTGTGATTGTCACTGTTTGCACTGAGTAACTGTCCCAACGTTCACTGTGTTCACACTACACTAGTGTCCCCGCACTATTCTGCAATCGGAATTCACTTTGCACAGTGGCGGCTCGTGACTATTTTAAGTGAGGAGGCTAATTATAGTATAGGATTTCATGAAATTCCTCGGAATTCCATTAAGATTTCAATTTCAAAATTCCATATTTTTTTTTAACCTTTAGGTACTAAAATTCCTAAAAATTTAACCACTGAAATATCCTGGAATTCCACAAAATTTTCATAAAATTCTTTGGAATTTCATTGACATTTCATGTAATTCCTTAAAAATTTCTCGGAATTCACTAAAATTTTATGAGAATATCCACTTTCATAACCGAAAATTTCTCGAAAGTCCAATGAAACTTCAAAGAGTTTTCAAAATTTAAATTATTTTCATAAGAATTTTTCGGAACTTCACTGAAATTCTCTTTTAATAGCCAGTAATTTCTGGGAATATTAATTAATTTTCAAGTAATTTCTTAAAAATTCATCGAAATAAATTGAAATTTCATGTTATTACATGGTAATTTTTCGGAATATCACCGAAAT